CTTCCTCCTCCCGCCTAAATTTTCCCTCCTTCCGATATCTGGTCCCATCCGCATTACGAAGATCAGAGAGTCTCTAGAATACTAACCGTCTGCCTTGAATGTGTAGAATCCCCTCATCGAAAAGCGTCCTCGCAACTTCGGCATAGGCCAAGACATCCAACCGCGCCGCAACCTCTCGCGCATGGTAAAGTGGCCCGAGTACGTCCGCCTACAACGCCAAAAGAAGATCCTCAACCTCCGTCTCAAAGTCCCTCCTGCGATCGCGCAGTTCTCCAACGTGCTCGACCGTAACACCGCCGCCCAAACCTTCAAGCTCCTCAACAAATACAAGCCAGAAACCAAAGCCGAGAAGAAGGAACGATTACTCAAGGAAGCTACGGCTGTCACCGAGGGTAAGAAGAAGGAGGATGTTAGCAAGAAGCCTTATGCTGTGAAGTACGGGCTCAACCATGTGGTGGGATTAATTGAGAACAAGAAGGCGAGCTTGGTGCTCATTCCTAACGACGTGGATCCGATCGAGCTGGTCATCTTCTTGCCAGCACTGTGCAGGAAGATGGGTGTGCCGTATGCTATTGTCAAGGGCAAAGCCAGGTTGGGCGTTGTTGTGCACAAGAAGGTATGTCACCACTTTGTGCTCCTATTCGCAGTCTACTCAATATTTATGATTCTGACCGTAAACCAGACCGCAGCTGTACTCGCCCTCACGGAAGTCCGCTCAGAAGACAAGTCCGAGCTTTCGAAGCTCGTCTCGACCATCAAGGAAGGCTACTCAGACAAGTACGAGGAAGCGAAGCGTCACTGGGGCGGAGGTATCATGGGCCAGAAAGCTATCGCCAGGACGGAGAAGAAGCGTAAGGCTTTGGAAAGCGCTATCAGGATCTAGAATAGAACCCTGCTAGATTCAAGCTTGCAAATGAAGTGTTTAGCTAGGCGTTCTTGAGTTTGAATGTGAAATTCACATTCATATTCAAGTTCAAATTCATAACGGCAACCCAAGCCAGACTCTCTTCAGCTCCGCTTCTCACTTGACAAAACATCGAACAATCAATTCCAAGCATACACTAAAGAATCGATATGCGACATTCAACGATGCAAATCAGCACTGCAGAGATCGCAGTATTCGCCCACTGTGAAAAGTCTGGCTGGACGACATTGCCTACGAGACAATAAGTGTCGACCAGCTCTCCAATACTTACCTGTACTAGGGTCTCATTCTACATTACCACAGCCACAGCGGCCTCCAACTCCTAGCATGCAAACCACATACTCGAACATTCATAGAATGCGAGCCAAGCACGCGTGCTCATCTGGGGCTAACGGATTGTAAAATCTCTGCACGCTGTTGTCCCATACTGTGGGGAGAAAAGAAGACAGGAATCTACCCCCAGCTTATTGTGATGCTCACCCGAGGATACCGCTTTTGAGGAGTGGGCTAGGTAACAGAGGGTGATGTAGCACCTTAGGTGTAGGCCTACTACGTGATCGTAACAGTCCTGGGCTTCGACGTCTGTGGATTTGGCGTACCCAACATACGTCACTGAGGCAATTCCTCATCAATCATGGGTGTCTTCTACATGTAGTCATACGGAGAAAGCGGCGGCTTCAAAAGTTGCGAAGCAAAACGAGGTCAGAGAGGGAGAATCCTGTTCTCTTCCCCTTAATCACGCAGTTTGATCTTCAAAATCTTCGCACAAGTCTAACGAAACACAGCCTCGCTAGAAACGCTTTGCAAAGGCGGTCGCTGGTCCTTGTTTCCTACTGAGGATTTAGTATCTTGTGGAGCCTCACTTTCCTACCCTCTATCAAAGTTGATTCACTATCATCGGTTATCTACTAAACAGCAATCACCCGCCTATTGTGTGATCTACATACAAGATGTACTTAGATCCAGTCGCTCTCAGCCTGGACGGAACACCTACAGCACAACGCAACAGCACTGACGTCTCTCGTATCATTGCCACTCTTGTTCTCAAAACATTCGCCCTCCCTATAGCTGTCATGGCCGCTTATGGTCATCTGGGTACCCTACAAGGCCTGTCTGAAAATTGGAGAACGGCACTGCCTCGAAAGATTATGTTGTTCGTCTTGCCTGGCGCAACTAGTGCAGGAGACTTCCTTCAAAATTACTCTTGCGTTTATTTCGCTTTCCACTGAAGCGTGACTGTGCTTTCGCTACTTAGTATCGGCAGCCGGGTATGGTATCCAAGTCCAAACGAAAACAGTCATAAGCTTCCGATGGTAATTACAAACTGGGCATCAAGTCAATATTGGTTCAGTCATCTTCCAAGTGACCTGTTTCTTACTCCACGTACTGTGTTTGGCCTTATATGAACTACTACTGTCTGGGCAATGCTTCAATTTGTATGCCTCTGCTCAGAGTTCTCGCGATCCTTATTGGTACTCTACAACTGTATCAGAGCTGAAAATCTTCGTCGCTATTACAATCTATATTGGAATCTTTCACTTTCCTACTATTCATGATTACTGGGGGACTGATGGAATTGCCCCTGTGGCAAGGCCAAATCCCACCCCTATCTCTACACTACCAAAGGCACTACGAGGTAATCATGATTGGTAAGACTTAAAGGTCATTCGGGCGTGCCTTATGTGTCGTAAGGACATTCAAAATCGAGGTTTTAGGCGAGAGATTAGTGGGGATAATGCTCCCAAGACACGCGGGGGATGTAAAGTATGTCAGGTCTTTTTTATGTCGCAAGGGGATTGCGCAAGACGATTTCATGAAAGGGATAATGCATTGGACTCTATATAATAGATCTAGACTACATTTATTGAATTATATGAATGTGGTGGGGTAGTAATCGAAATAATGGTGCGGAGAAAACAATTTGTTGCCTCTCGGCGTTTATCGGATAGTATCCAAGTCCAAACGAAAACAGTCATGTCCGATGGTATTACAACTGGGATCGTCAATATTGGTTTCTTTCCATCTGACTCACTGAGTTACACACCGCTGCCTTGGTCATGGGACAGGCTTTTACTCAATAGTGGCCAGCTCATCAACCTTACTGTTGTCCTAGCACAGGCTATTGCTAGTCTAGTACTCGTTATCCGGCGCCAGCGTCTTGATGCGGTATTGGTACTTGACTCGATTAACGGTCTTTATGCAATCATTGGGATCCTATCCGTCTGCTACACCTTCGTCCTCCTGGCGTGTGATGGTAAATTGGAAATCCGTGGTAATGGCATATTACTTTCAACCTGGACTGACCCTCGCAAAGTCACGATCACGATTTTGGATAAAATACCCGAATTACTTACAAACCCAAGTTCTTGGTCTTCTTTGATTTTTGAACAACTCGTCTGAGCGATGTGGCCCACTAAGTACATGCAGGGGCAAGTCCTCTTAGAAAAAAGATCAGCTCGACGCATTGCTCTACTCATGGGGGATTCGATTTCGAAATCCGTACCGGTAGTGCTTAGTCTCATCATCAATGTCGCCGTAATGGTAGCTTCAATGGGATTTTCTAGGCAACGTCTTATTTATCAATATATCCGCAGGAGGAGACATCAGGATGTGCAGACGAGTGCTTTCTGGTTCGTCCTCTATGCTATCGCACCATTTATGGTGGGCTGTACGATGCAATACGTGCTATCCTACCTTTTCGCGATTGGGTATGAGCTATATGTCATCAGGTACGCGCTCGAGACAAAGACCTGGGCGTCGGACAAATTGCGCTGTTACGATCCGTGGTCGGATTTCGTTGTCTATTGATGATGTCTTTATCAATACAGACATCCACCAAGTTTAAATCTGCTCTGGCTTGTGTGGCAGTGAAGCGGCTTGAATTTCGAGTAAGTTCAGATCATTCGTGAAGGATGTCTTCAGTCGTATGTCCTCAATCAATTCATATGGGAGACGCTACTGTGATCGGCACAGAGAGCGTTCACAAGTCCGACATCACTTGTTACACTTCTCCACAAAGATGACGGCATGTGCAGTAAGAATACGTCGTCATCCAATGGAAATCCAAAAACTCCGAGAAATGCGTGCCAAGATCGCCTTTACATTCATATGTATTTCGATGATTATCAGGTAGCGATTAGGATTCTATCTTTGAATTCCTAATTCCCCAACTATAAATCAAATTAGAAATAATCTTGAAGACCTCGTCCGGCGAAAATTTGACCATTTGACCTCCAAAAATGCTCCACTATTGGTTGCACTGACAGTTGATAGTTGGTTTCGATGTGTATGATAGTTGGTGCAGTTTGGGCCTTGAAACCAGCCATTCCAACTACTGCCAACCCTGCTTCGACCCAGATCTTCTTGTCCTCGCGGTTTAGGTGTCGATCAGAGGTGACGTCTCTCAAACAGCACCAATTCAAGCGGCTTGCTATTTTGGATGCAGTCCGCCTCTGATGAGAAACCTTCTCGCCCAGATCAGGAGCTCGGTTCGATCCCGCACGATTAGGATCTGGTCTGGTGTGCAGGGCGTGCGATGGCCTTCATCGATACCGCGCGGTATCATAATTGAGCTTCTTGCAGCAGGCCTGAATCCCAGTAGCTCTTCGCTAGAAGGCAAGACTGCATCGATGCTGGCTGCTGAGGTGGCTTACATCTTGCTGTCGCGAATGATCAAAGATGAGTGCTGCAGATTGATCTTGAATCATCTGTGTGAAGGTACCAACTGACCTCACTTGATCTGTAAACATTAATAATCGGACCTCCCATGATCGAAGCTTACTCCAGAAAGGAGCAAACCCGAACTCGTTGGATAGATGGCCTTCCAACCCGATTATGCAATCAACTCAGGATGGTCATACAGCTTGCATCCAGAGACTCATAAAAAGTGGAATAGATCTCCAAGTGCATGGTACTGACGGTCGAACAGTTTTACATCATGCGGCCAACCACAAATCCGATCCTTCTACCCTTTTCGAACACGATTACTGGCCGCGAGCTTGGATCAGAAGATCATAGTTCGAGATCTCCTTTGACTTTACTGTTAAATTCAGCATCGATACCTCACATCTCAGCCATGCTGAACTTCGCACCCCATCCTAGCGCCTACATCGCTCACAAAAGGAAGATACTGACGGAGACTATTTGGAGCATTGAAAACACAGGCTTTACTGTAAGAAAACTGCCAAGGCGAGTACCGGCAGAACCGGTACCGAAATTTCTGGCTCACCGCGCGGTGTATGGCAGCACAGCGCTTTACGCAGCCTCCACGATAGCGACTCCACAGCAAAGCGACTCTATCGAAATCCTTACCAACGCAGGCGCAGAGCCAGAGCTCGAAGGTGGTGATCACGGAACCCCGCTGATGGGCGCGTGTGCAACCGGCCGCCTCTCGGCGGTCAAAGAGCCCGTATCGAAAGGCGCCGTGATCTGCTACACCAAAGCCGGCGAGACGATCGGCGCTCTCCGTGCCTCGAAGCATTTCCCCGACATGGGAGGCTGGCTGCTCGTTGGGAGATTTTAGCAAAGGACCTGGGTTCCTCGAGGATGTCGACAGCGAATGAAGAAGCCGGTACTTGGGGCAGCCAATGCTAGCGGAGAGTGCTCACACTTGACATTCTGGGTGGTTTCTGAGCATCGTGGAGATTTCGCTTGAAGCCGCTGTTCTGCGAAGACAGCCAAATCCGTTAATCAGCATCATTGCAGGTCCCGACCGAGCTTGCAAGCTTACCGACGCCGTCCTCTGGATCTTGAATCTTGAATCTTGAACCAACCGTGGGTTTGATCGCTATCCCGGCCCGCTTCCGATCGGGACGCATGAAAGACCTGGGCTTTGCAGAGTCTAAGTCCGTCTTGAAACAAAGTGTTTATAAGTCTCTTCCTTCAAGGATGCTAGACCTGAGCTTCAAGATGCGTCTATTGGAACCGGAATACCGGGTACCCGTTGCAGTCTATCGTCTCTCTGAAAACAATACGTTGCATGCAAGATCCCAACATGCCGGCCCACCTTTTCAACTTCCCCCCTTCTCAAAGAAATGAACCCCTCAATTCCGAGACATCTCAGTTCTTCCCTATCTCTTCCGCGATGCTACACAAGTCCGCAAAGCCCACGACCTATGGCTTTTAAACCCGATCCGACTTTCATCTGGGCGCAGCGCCTCGTAAAGGACCCCGCAAATACTCCAAGCCGCCGATGAGCCCCTCTATCCGACGACGAAACGATGTCTATGTCAAAGGCCTCCTTAGGTCAGGCCGAGGCAGGTCGATGCGACTTAGATCAAACGGTAAGAGCGAGGCTCAGGACTTCATCAAGGTAGAAATGCCGAACCGCGACATCGACGCCCACTTTTGCTTCTGATCGCTATACGTTTTGCAGATCTTTCATCTCCGAGGAAGCTCGTGCGCCGACGCGTGACGAGACACCAAAGACGTCGTGGCGACGCAGCATCGTACAACTTGCGTTTCAGGCACGTGATCGGAAAGCTGCGCGAGTAAAGTTTCCTGAGATCCAGACGGCACAAGAACGCCGCCGGGCTTCTACACCCTCACCGGATCCAGTCTCGGAGCTGTTGTCGCTGTTGTCTTGTTTCAAAGGGCCTCGTGGGGAAGGGGTGGTATGGAGCTCGGACCTATCTCACACGTATACATTCCCGCAGATCGAACATCCGCGATTTTTAAGTAATGCGCGCTGAGGTCCCCGGACATATGTAAGAAAAAAATGGTGTGAGGCACTTTCTTAAAAGCATGCCAAAGTTGCTGTGCAGCAAATTTATTGCGACAATCCTGCAGGAAACGGGATCCGTCCGTGATGCGATTCTTTAGAAAAGCGGATCCGTGTGTAATGCCGTTCTGCAGAAAAACGGATCCGTGGGTCATGCAACTCTGCAGAAAAGGATCTGATCATGATGCGATTATGTAGAAAAGCGGATCCGTGTGTAATGCGATTCTGCAGAAAAAGATCTGATCATAAAGCAATTCTGCATTATCAAACGAATTCCCGCTGCGTGCGCAACGGGTGAGGCCCCGCCCAGGTTGCCCGTCTCAATCCGCCCCGTTGCGCAGCCGTACTTGAAACAGATCCGAATACTCTGGTAGTCAACTAAGGCTGTGATGCACTAGGCTAAAACTGCTGTGTTTCAAAATGATTTCACACTAAACCGGTTCGACTGTTTTGAAAGAAAGGTAAAGGGGCGAGAGACTATATTCGATGAAAAGGGTGTAGTCCAGTCGAGAATCGAGGCCTGTATAGACTGGAACACTCATTTCGAAGTGGTGCGTCAGGCCTCTGTTGTGGTGGGCGCGTGGCGTTCAAAGAAGCTGCCTGGTGGGCCTGATTAGTCCCAGATGCTGTAAGCAATACTGCATTGCCGGCTTTGATGAACTAGGTTTCAGCGACGGTCAACCCGAGCTAAATCTTGGCCTGGACGCGCTCAGGGGATCTAGGCACTAATCGCTATTGAGCTATCTCTCGGGCCCTGGCACACGCACGAGTCAGTCAAACGCGTAAAAGCGAGTGTTATGAATTCGGTTATTTTAACATCACGAGCTGTATTATAGTGGAGGGTCGATTGCGACATGGATATAGAAGATATCCCCACCACTAGGATCCGTAAAGATGTGCACGCAGATGTCGTTCGCGGCGAGTGCAGCGGGACAAGATAACGATTATCGAGAAGTTCATTTTGCAGAACGGGAATCGCGGTTTAAACAGTCGATGGGATGATCTTGCACGAGCGGACCGAGTTCTCGGGCGCGATGCCTGACAGGAAAATTGGCTGGACGATCGCTGTGATGATGGGCTAGTTAAACGAGAGGAGAAAAAAGTATGAAGGGATAGGATTCTCGGAGAAGTATGCCGACATCGAAATGCACGCAATAACCATCTCGCTTCAGCAAATGGAGCAAATGGGTCAGGAGGGCTCGAGACTAGCTTGCGAGAAAGTCTTACCACTGGCTGTGAGCATGATGCCGGCGCAAACGAGGTACTGGAATTGGGAGGGGGACGCTCTCCTTGCCATTACGACTGTGGTGTGGGGCTGAGTCCGCGTCCGAGTTAGGAAGTAAAGATACCTGATGGTTAGGTGATGGTCTCGGGCTCTCCGTTGACGTGAGGCGCGACACGGAGGGACGATGCACCAAGCATCGTGTCCGAAAGACACAATAGAAGGGGCTCTCTAGCATTGAATTTTCCCGACAAAGTTCAACTCAGCATGTTCACCTTATCCCATGTCTCAAGGTTTCATAGCTCCTTTCTATCAAACGTGCCGGTCCTGTTGCGTCCTACCTTGTCAGTAACCCAGAACAGATAAATTCTCGTGAGAAGACTAGATTTCACAAAGCCGAGTCTCAACTTGTCTCGGACTGGCGAAGCGATCTCAAACCCCAATTTCGTCCAGAATCGAGTTGATGAAGGCACACCGCTCCATCACCTGCTCCCACGCCAATGCTTTCTCACGCTCCGATTTGGCTCCACCACCTGTTCCAGAAGACATGCTTGCGGGACCACTGCCCTGCGGTCCTCCTACAACATACAAGCTCAGATCTTTCGGACACTCTTTGCTCAAAGCCTGTTCACTTTGGTCCGAGTACGCGATCGGCCAATCTTTGAAAGTTCGACCTCTTGAAATCGTCGGGTCTCCCGAGTAAGCGAAGGCAGCGGCGCTACCACTCAACAGAGCAGAAAGGGACTGCTGATCGGGGCTGTTGTCTCCGCCGGCGGCGACGTCTTCGTTCATGAGATACGGAATATCAGAGAGGTGGCAGACGTGCCACTGAGGAACGCCCATGTACTGCAATATCGGACCGAACTTTGTCTGATTCATATTGTACAGACGGATATTCGAGTCGCCGCCGAATCGAGCGTACTGCCAGGTAAAGTCAATGACGGGGCATGTAAACCAGATATCGCGGTTTATCTGTGCTGCTCGATAATAATCTGCTGTCGCTTCCTCGTCGGGGCTGACGAGGTGGATAAAATTGGAGAGTGGGTAGAGGGATAGCAGACGTTGTAGTGAAGACTGTGAGAGACCGAGAACGAATGTTTGAAAGCTTTCGAGTACAGAGGCATCGTCGCTGATGGATGGCTGAGCGTACCAGGCGCCGTCGTTGGTAACCCAGGAGCCTATAATCGGTATCCCTAGATACGGTTAGGATCTATATCGTTGCATCAGTAACAAAGAAAGAAGTGCACCTTTTACAAAAGCTCCCTTACGGAGCAGCACAGAAGGTCGATCGGAAATATAATCGCCGTCATAGCTGGGATAGAAAGCTAGCTCTCCGAAAGGTGGTCTTAATTGTCGAGCAAGTTTCACGGAAGTGTCCATTAAGTTTTCGAGAGGAATTTTTCGCAGACAATCCACAGTTGCTGGAGAGTCTGGATCGTCCTGAGTGCAACCAACAGATTTGGCCACAGTTGCGGTATTGTCTGCTACGAGGCTGCTCATGATGTTAAAATTCGTCCCCGTTGCCCCGGACATCATCCTGTCGGTGCGCTTAGCCTCCATCCTTTTGCGGAGTGGTGGTGCTCTTACATTGCTTTCTGAAAGGGTACTCCTTGAGTGCCTGAATACGAGACGAGATGCAAGCCAATAGCCATTGCACCCACGCTTTGCCCCACTGCGACAACATTTCCTGGGTCTCCGCCGAAGAATTCAATATTGTCACGGACCCCTGGGTTTTTCTTTTTCAGTAATTCAAAGATAGACTCCTCATTGGCTTTTCCTATACTTACATTCGAAGGCAGCACGTTGATCCCGCAGCCCAACATTGGTTTGCTTCGCATCTCTCAATGCTTTGTTTGTGGCGTAACCGAACACTTGAGTATTCGTTAACAGCTACACATGAATACCCATTTCAGGGGATCTGGCGTACTGCCCAATCTATAATTGATCCCGACATAGATCACGGATTGGCCGTTTGATTCGGCCTGCCTTACGAGGCCATCCGGTGTATAGAGTATATCAGACGCACTTCCAAGCGCATCGCCACCTAAGCACTCTATCAGCGACCACAAATGTATTCTTCGATTGTGATTTTCATACCGCCATGTATCCAAACCAGAACCGGCAATTTCGCAGATGAATCAATGTTAGACGGTCGCGCAATCCGTAGGCTAAGACAGTTCTCGCTCACGTTGGTGATAGGACTCGTGAATGGTAGCGGAGGTCCTCCGAGTCCTTGAGGACACCAGGCACCAGCGGCAGTTGCATCGACGATAGTGCCGGGAGGTGGTGCGCAGGGAACAGGTGGTGCAAAGCGATTTGAGCCTGATGTATCTTCGGCGTAGAAAATGTTCTGGAAATGTTCGACGCCGTTTGTAGATGTGCCACGATAGGAAACCCCGGTGCGCGCATTCCGAACATAAGGTGTTGAATAGTTCAATAAACTCAAAACAAAGGGAGACAGTGAGGTCGAATGCAGTAACATCGCCGTGAGAACGACGAGGATAGATATGAATGCGAATAGGAAAGGGTGCTGACGAGGGTTGAGATGGGATTCCATCTTTAGAGAGAATGATATATTCTATATGAAATGGGGATTGCAGTGTTGTTTCCTTTCCGACCACAGGGGGTTGCGCGGTAAAAGTATTCGCGATTATAAGAAGCGATTAACATGCCTTGGATGGACAAATTGTGCGTCATTTTGCTCCTTTATATTTGTTTCACATAGCAATAATAATGATGACTAGTCCTGGAGGAAACCGAGATACGAATTCTTACTTTATTTACTAGAGCGGCAACGGTTCGCATTCTGTATTGAGTACCTAGTTCCCGAAGACTAGCGTTCCATACCAATAATCTAGTGTGTACTAAAACTATTGCAATTACAGCGCTAGGATTTCCAGAACCTATGCACAAATCATCTCATGTGAGTTATTGCAGAATTGATAGACCACGGCTCAGGCTACAGTACTATCATGATGCGAGATGTTGCTCTGGACGAGAATGTCGTGACCTGTCTGTGGCTGCATCTCAAGGTCGACACTGTCGGGAGGCACTGTTGAAATGGTTGTCTCCATGCTTGGGCCAAAGCGCATTGGTTGAGCGCCGATATGCTTCTCGTTGCTGAGAGTAGTCGTCAGCCAGCGTCGCCGTACTTGCCTTGCCAATGTGCAGAAAGACACGGCGCGAGGATGACTTGGCTTACATCATCTTAAAGCTTGAAGAGCATTGAGAGTCGCCATCCGAGAGCTTGTGACTTCTGTGGCTGCGCAACCAGCTGAGTGACAAGAACCTCTTAGAAGAAGCGAGTGATCGGAGACTGAAAGGCAATTTCGCTGCGATGGGAAGGAGGGTCGGTAGGCATGCGCAAATCATAGCAACATTCAATTCAATGAGACTCCATAGCAGGAAGATTGTGAAGTCCTCTTGTCACGGATCGTTAGCAGTTGACTTGAAGCAACGAATTCTAGTACTCACGTATGAAGTCTGGATTCGACGCTTTCTCTGAGGTCTTTGATTAGCCTTGAATGTTCCTCACGGTGGGTTGAGGCGTACCATAAGACGTGACGAGATATGCAACCATGCGAGCAATGCCAGCACCAATAGCACTTTGTCATCGTCAGTATAGCATTCATTGGGAAACATTTATATGCGCTTTCGAGTACTCACAAGAAACCGACAAGGAACATGGCGCTGATAGCGACTTTTCTCTGAGTGCTCATTTGGAGGGACCAGATCTAGTAGACGTCAGAAAAATGGCAGCCAACTCTCAGAGATCTTCGCGCACCATTGGAATGGGCATGGCGATAATCATGAGATCAGTGATGATATCAGTCGCAGTGAATACGCTTAGCATGTCCAGAGTGTTGGAGCATTGTGTCAGAAAGATTTCAATTGGTGCCCAATTACGGCTCCAATCCAGTCCGCATTGGAAGACGGTTGCAAAGAAGAAAGCCAAGCTCCATGCTGTCACGATGCCGATCATGACCCAGCTGGCTCTGTTGAAAGCGCGGACGTGGCCGAAGATCCTTCGCCACAAGAACAAGATCGATAACTTGATCAAGCCGAAAGCAAGCTTCTCCGTGGTTTGAAATCCATATTTATACTGAAATCAGTGTAAGCGTCGACGTTATGTTGACCAGATGCAACTCGATGACTATACCCTTTCAGCCATGTGCTCTTTTTCGGTCGAGACGGGAAAGTCATTCACAACGGGCGAATGACCAGTGATAACATTCTGGATGCATCCTGATGCAGTCAATCTTAGCGATGGCAATGTGAAATGGATGGTTGATGCCTACCAGCGAGAAACATGGCGTTCAGACCAAGAACAAACACCTAGGCAGAAGACTTCGTTAGCTCAACGCTGGCACAAAGATGGTGACTCCAAGGCTATGCACTCACCAAAGAGGCAGCAATCAGCCAGTCATCAGCTTGGAATTGTAAACCTTTAAACCTGCGGGCATAGAATCGCAAGACGACTGCTGTCGTAGAGGAGATCGAAAAGATGATACACATGGCGATGAGGCCATCGCGGTTGTTGACTGGTGCAAAGGAGTAGCCCATGTTGGCTCTCTCAAATATGTTCTGGAGGTAATGAAAGGGGCAGCGCGCAAAAGAATATCAAAATGACATTGCTGGCAGTGGATCCTCGGACACGTTGGACCCGAGGATGATATGGAATTGATTTGTTCTTTGCAGAAACGACTGTGCCGCTTGTTACACCTACGTAATGCCGCATGAATAAAAAATTACACCGGCCCTCTTTCCACTTGCAGACCATTTCGTCGAGACACACACCCTCCGTAAACTCGACGGGAAGGATCATCGAGGGGGTCATAAGTGACCCAATGATATATAACTTGAAAGCAACAGGGTCTGCCCGGGCACCGTTGGCGTCTTTGGACGCATATCCCGTAGAGATCGGACCAATTGGCGTTGCGTGCCGGTAGTAGCGAGCGTTGCAGTGGGCGTGGTCAGTGTGCGGTGGATGCCGAGGACAAATCGGGCCTCGGGATTGCGCAGAGGGATTTTTGGCTGATCCCTAATCGGTTCTTCGTAAGGATTCGTCATAGAAGAGAAAGGCAAGGTAAGCATCTCGATGATCCACCAACTAATGAGATTTCCTGCTTCGACGGTGGGCTTACCGCCAAAGGATTTCGGCCGTGGTGCGCATGTGCTACGATGATTAAGCACAAGGCACAGATGACAGACGCAGTAAGACTGCAGGGGTTGGCCAACCCTCTGTATTTCACACCAATCAACTGTTCTTCTCGAGTTCAACTCATGATGTGTTGATCCGCCTTCCTTATGTAGGTATATAGAACCGAAGGTATGGATCTGGATTCGACGGAAACCCCGCTCCCGCAGATTGAAACCTTTTCTAATTTGAGGAAAAGCTTGCGGGAAGCTTGCGGGAAAGTGTAGCCGCTGTCATTCCGTCATCGTACACGAACGCTAAACATTGGCGTCGTATGCATAAGATGTATTACATACCAAACCGTATACCGGAACAAATACACAAGGCTCCGAAGCCAAAGCTGGATGAAATCCTAAAGTAAGGTACTTGTAGTTGGATGTAAGCCAAGCCAATGGAATGAGGCCACTCCGCTAGCAGCAGAGCTTCTAGAGATAGAATCCCCCAAGTACATACTCACAGTGATATCAATTTTTGTTACTCTGCGTTACTCGTGTTAACTTCTCGCAACCATAGCCATCATACCAAGCTATGGAGAAAGAAAAGGCTTTTACAAGACGATGAAGCTCAGCATCAGACACCTCCTCGCCTCGCCAAAGGAGACGAGCATTCCCATACTCCTTGGTCCGTTATCATACTGAGAGGGTGTGCTCTTCTTTTGATTTCATCAATATGTCTCAATTGCAGTCTCGTCTGGCTATTGGTACGGAAGCAACATGCAGTCCCTGATAAATCAGAACATGGTCTGTCCGTTGGCCCTGAGTAGGGAGTCTTCAGCATCTGACAGCATGTCCACATCTCCAGCTTCCCTCTCCAGACATCTCACCGAGCCTTACTATAAGGAGACGCCTTACAGCGACAATAAGAACGCTTCGCTCACAGCAAGTCTATGGCACGACATTGACATCGATAGCGGCGTCATTACCCTATCTGACGACTACGTCGCCTCCAAAGGCCTACTCCCAGCCCAAAGGTTCCCATGGGACGCAACGAAAGGCATCTACATTGTCCACGGCTACCACAACCTCCACTGCTTGGTAACCCCCCCTCCTTTCCTCTCCCTCGACCTTGCCGACCATCAAATCGCTCTGACCGACCATAGAAAATCATCTACATCTCCATGACCGAATACCGCCATGGCGGACCGCAAAGCCGAAAGTGGCCCCACATCTCTCACTGCTTCGACGCACTCAGGAGACAAGTCCTTTGCGACGCGGATGATACACCGCGCGCGGTGCGGCGGGAGTTGGACGGTGTTTCGGGCGTTGGTCAAACGCGGCAATGTCGGGATTGGGGCGAGCTGGAGAGGTGGGCGAAGTTGCATACGGCGTGTTATCGGAGACCTGATCGGCCGGTGGAGGGGATGCGGAATATTGAGAAGTATAAATTCTGTCCGGAGGGCTCGGGGTATGAAGTGCCTGAGGGTTTGGTTTAGAGATTAGATCATTAGTTGAATGCTTGTTGTCTTGGTTGTATATCGAATACGAGCTAAAGGTCAACGCTGCTCATTGCACTGACTGACTACCATCGGAACGGAGTGGCTAGAGAACTTGCATATATTTTCCTCGTATCACGTACGTACGCTCGATACGATTGGGTCTTGGTGATCCAGGATGTTTACAAACTATTCTAACATATTCTCCGCATTTTAGAACCCATCAGCGATATCGACCCCGTCATCTTCTCGACGGAGCTTGAATCCATCCGCCACATCGACCCCTTCATCATCGCGACGAAGCTTGAATCCATCTGCAACATCGACTCCTTCATCATCGCGACGAAGCTTGAATCCATCTGCAACATCAACCCCATCATCGTCACGACGCAGCTTAAATCCATCCGCGACATCAACCCTGTCATCTTCTCGGCGGAGATTTGCGTTGGGAACTGGGCGCACTGGGCGTTCTTGGTAAGCAATAATCCAGGATCATGGGCAGATGGAAGACTGACGTGGTGCTGGCAGAGCTGTCGCCAGCACGGCGGAGCTGGCAAGGAGGAGGAGGCACGATTTGGCGAAGTACATAATGTCTACTACTTTCAATGGTTTTTGTGTATGGTGGAGTGTCTGGGAAGGATTTCGCGGAGTTTAGTCTGAAAGTGATGGGAGGAGACAGTGTGTGCGTGCTTTTCTTGGGGCGGGTATGTGCGTTCTGATATACAACTTCGAAGTGGGTGGAACAAAGCTTTGAAACTTTTGCCGAGCTCTTGGACAGACTGCATGTCATCAATACTGCAGGTCATCGTAATTACCCAAGAATGTGGGAAGGAGGAGTGAGCGAGACGCCTAATACGGAGTGGTAAAAGTCAGTCATGATTGATTGAGCGGCCGATGAGACACCTCTTCTCCGATTTTTAACCCCACGGAAACTTTAAGGGATCAGCTCCTTGAAGGGAAGCCTGCCGATCAAGAGCACGGGGAGGGTTCGTTGAAATCCGAGGCTTCTTGCTCTATAGAAACGCATGATGACATAGGAATGTGACGGCACTGGATCAGTCCTCTTTCCTGGATGTGCGATTGTTGAGGGATTCGCGCCTGCGTGCTTGCGGGCAATTTCTTTGTTAGCTCACGTCATGCGGTAGACAAAAGTGGAGGATTGCTTGATCGAGAGTTTATGCTCCGAAGACGCGGTGCAATGTGCATGATCTGCCACTCGTTAGCCAAACGAATGGCCCTGAAATCCTGAGGTACCTTAATGTAAGTGCAGGCAACAACTGGAAATCGGCGATGACATTCCCTTTTTATGTAATGTATGTATGCGTCATTCGGCAGATTGATCCCGGACGGTCGCATTCAAATCTTACATGTCATGTAGGCAAAGTAAGGCTGGACGGATATTAAAGTAGAACTTGTTGGGGGTAGGTGAATGGTAAAAAAACTGCAGGCAAGTGGCAACAGTGGAAGTACGCCCTAGGTACTTATTGGGTCACTCTTCCTTGATGCATGCATGCGTCAACAGATTATGATTTGTGAGTCATGCATTTTTATTTCCGAAGCTTCATGCCCCGTGGCTCGTCTTCAAACCTGAATTGAAGAAGGTAGTAAAGTAAGGTAAGGTACCTTAAGGCTGATAGGACTAATTTAGCGGCGGGCGGTCAACGCTCTTGTAGCAGGATTTAGCGTTCCTTACCTTACCTTATACCTTAGCACGGGGGTGTCAGATCTCGTCGTACACCCTAACCAGATTTGGGGAAGCGGCTTGGCCCCTCCACCAAAATTCTATGAAAGATCAAGCTGACTCTCTCTTTCCACAGCCACCATGTCGTCCCCCCGCTCCCACATCCCTAATCAGCCATGGCATACTCCCATGCATCGTACGGTCATTCAAGAACGAATCGTCAATAACAAATCATGGAGGCGCATACGAGAGGTTCCCCATTTCGATGATTCGACTACGAAGAAGTACATTGTGGATGGATGGAAGGACCATGTAACTCAGAAATTCATCAATCGATGTGTACGTAGTATGCCTGAGAGACTACAGGCTGTGATAGACGGGAATGTCCAAATGACAGGCTATTAGTAGTGGTGGTAGAGAATAATGTATACAATTTTGGTGGGGGAATACCCTATTCTCCATTTGGTTAGGGTGTACGACGAGATCTGACACCCCCGGGCTTAGGTACTTTACATTAATGTACCTAAGGTAAGCTAAGATATCAGTGACCGACCAATGAGATTTCCTTCTGTGGGCCACAACTGGGAGAGTGATAATTGTCTAAGCGGCTTTCTCAATCATCCTTCTAACAAATCACGATGTGGGCAACGTACTCTCCATCATTCATCTGCTCTCCAAGGTCGAAGGAGCTAACCGCAACGCGTGACCATGTCCTCAAATTTCTTCAAAACACATTTTACATCGCTACCATACATTCGAATAGACCAGGAAAATGTTGACGAAGAATTGCTTGAGAAAGGCGACAATCGCCACACCAGCAACTCCAACCAGTCTCGATGTTACAATTTGCTCCTCTCCGCCGTCTTTATCGCTCTCGCTGGTGTAGCCGGATATCTCTTCGGTTCACTCAACCATCATGCCGAGTGTGAGTCAGTCAATCGCACAGACACCGTTGGTGAAGGTAAAGTATCCATCGATCATTTCTAAATGTAGCCTTCTCACCTGCTTGCGCCAGTACCCATAGGGACTTCTAGATCGATATTCCAGTACAACAGCAGCTTCGCTGCTCCTCCACCCAAAGATGCCAAATCCGAACCGATTTGGGATTCCATGATCCCCAGTAAGTCCTCACTACCATCCCCATTGTCTTCCGGATCTGAAAATTACCGCAGATGGCCTAGGCTACATCAAAGACCCACCCGTCGCAACAGAAACATCCGTCCTCAGCGCTTTCCATCAGCTGCACTGCCTAGTACGCCTCGCTTCCCATTTCAAACCCAGACACCACTGAAAGTGAAAACAGTACACAGTTCGCCGAGCCTTTTATTCCAACTCGAAAACTGGAGATGAATTAGAAGCATTCGACCTCGGCAAGGAAAGAAAACCTCATGTAGCACATTGTTTCGATTATCTCCGACAAGGAATCCTATGCTCGGCAGACTCAAGCATTGAGCCGGCCGTGGATACTGTGAACGGATTCTTAGGTGCAGGGTTCCCACGGCAGTGTCGCGATTTTGAAGAATTGAAAAGTTGGGCGGAGAAGCATAGAGCTTTTGATGCTCATGGATTCCTGGTGGATATGGAGCATTGAATAAGGGTGTATATGGTAGCGAATACGCTCCTCAACTTCCCGGGTCGCCGAAGAGAGTCTCGCCCTGCTGTTGTGCTCGCCTTTGATGCCAAAAGAAAGTCTTTGGCTACCAGTGCCACAGTATTTTTGCTCCCTATCACCAAAGCAATCCAATCATAGCTGAGTTGCCCATCTTTTTACTTCCCCTCACAGCTCTCTTCACTCGTACCGTCTCAATTTCCGCTTTAAAATCATCCCGGCTTCTCGCATCCGAACCAAAATTCCTCAATCTCCCTCCGCACGCTCGAATCCAAACAGCTTTCTGGCTCTCCACCTCTCGAAAGTCTACCTCGTCCAGCGCGCCCTCAAATTCTGCCCTTGTCCGCCACGCGGTCGGGTCATCAAATGGCGCAACAGGCTATAAAACATGTCAGTCATGTACCTAAGTTATTGTACATGATGACACCAGGACGCTGTCGAGCCTGCATGCGCTGATCGTCTGCAAGCGACAATGGGAGAGAATGGAGTCGCGGGCGCAAGCAGAGCTTCCCGATCTCGTTGATCATATCCGATCAGGAAGCAGTACCGAGAAAGATAGCCTGGACATCAACGACCACGTTCGATGAAATATAATGCTTGAAGGAAAGTATCCGATCGGATTGTAACGAAAATATTGAAAACGTTGCTGATCACCGACATCGCGGTCTAACGCAACGTCAGCGATGACTACATGTGAGACGTTTCAGTCTTCGAATTAATCGGTCATGTTCGTTCTCATTTCACGTCGAGGAGTGCGGGAACCAAGCTCGAGCCTTTTGTGATGAATGTTGGTGTGGTTCTTCTCTCACAATCGTAACAGCTCCATTTCTACTCCACTGTTGCAGCGATCACCTCTCAGGTTGATGCTGCACCGCGTACCTGATATCATATTTACGAGTCATAACGTACTGGTACCGACTCTGAATCCAGGCTCTCTGGGGTCGATCTTGACTTGATTGCTGTCCATTGAGCCGGCTGGTCCACCACGAACCATTCAATTTGACATTTTGGGGGCCGGAAGGACGTTACGTGGGACACGGCATGCATTCAGCTTCAGATATAGGTAAAGAAAGACCTCGAATCCGTACCGAACCGCTGCATCGCAAAAGGGTACACTGTAAAAAGTCTCACCTCCACGGATCAATTGACTACAAGGGGCGAACGCCGGAGCTTTGGGAAAGCGCCGTCAACCCCGCTACGCCTCCTCATTTCTTCATGCAACGACTCGCACCTACTTGTCTTCTAGCTATGCAGCCCTCCAACCGTTCCATGTTCAAGCTGATGGCGCGTGGGCGTCTCATTGCAACTGTAGTGTACATTTTCGGTCCTCCGCGTCTCCATTTTCGATTCCAGCCGGGCAATATACTTCTCCTCCCGATCCATCATTTCTTTTCTCAGCCCACTAGCCCGTCTCTTCTGTCTCCACAGCATTCCTACGACTCCCAAAAGCGCTAGTCCCAATGGAAAACCAACTGCTGCACCTGCCGTTGCTGCTTTGTCGGAAGTCGAAGGCGGCGAAGCAGCTGTTCCTATGGCAGTGGCAGTGGCAGTGGTGGTGTCACCGGCTTTCATCGTGGCCGCAGCTATTGTAACAGTGCTTGTGGTAGTAGCGGTGCTGTCGGGCGACGTTGAGCCGGACGTGCGATTGAACATCACGTAACTTGAATCAACTGGGCAGCGAGCATCATTGCTTCCCTCAATCACTCACGGTAGAATCTTCCAAGGCAACAGTCAAAACTGAACGTTACCATCCTGATTACCGGGCGCCCCCCTTTTTTTTTCCGGTGGGTTCCCGGGGGCTTCCTTTTTTGGGGGGGGGTTTTGGGGTTTGGGGGGGGGGGGGGTGGGAGGGGGGGTTTTTTCTGGGAAGCAGCAGGCGCTGGCTTGATCTACAGGGGTGTCCCTGGTTGCTTCGCCTCCGTCGGGTAGAAAGCATTTCTGGGAGAGAAGTCGGTATTCTGCAGCATTGAAGGGCGCGACATATTGTCCCAATCATAGGTAGAATCTTCAACAACAGTCAACTGAACGTTTGATTACCTGATCTACAGGCTGTTCTGCAAGGGGGGAAAAAAATTTCTTTTCCCCCGGATCCCGATAACAGCTCTCGAGCAAATGCTACGACGCTACCTGGTATCATACTGTCAAACCGAGCCTAATTACTATTCACAAGAGCGTAACAAGACTGGGCAACATTGCTTCTCCGCTCTCTACTACGCCAGCGTTGCTCAAGCACCCGGTCTCGTAAGTCCTTGCTTGGCCTGTTCACATCATCAGCTCGATCCACGCCGACCACCCAATGAGAAACACATACCTTCATCATCTCGATCCTAGCCTTCAACCTACTTGTAACCTCCCCAGCCCTCTTCCAACTGTCCACTGTCTGCCCATCCGGCCCTGTTTCCTCTCTACCTTCAGCCAAAGTCCCACCACTGAGTTCTCTCGTCATCAGCGGCATTTCCGCTTCCCTCTTTCCAACACCCCCGTTCAAACCTCCATTCTCTTTTTCCTCACTTGGGCTATCCATATAGCCCCTCGCTCGCTGGTAGCCCACCTCTCTGCTTTCCGAGCGACTGCTATCATAGCGTTCCGTGCTCGGGTGATGCGGTGCAGGGTCGGGATTCCTGTCTTGGTAGATCTGGTCGTCTGAGGGAGGACTGTGATCGCGAACTGTTCTGTTGAGCTCCCGCTTCAATCTCTCCATTTCTCTGCCTTGTCTATGCACCATACTCTCTGCGGCTTCTGCGTCAGACCGTGCACGGACGAGTTGGGTTTCTTTGGCTTTGATACTGAGAACGTCTCGCGTATGATCTTCGATCAGTTGCGCATTTTGATGTTGTAATTCATGGATTTGGGACATAAATTTTGCTTTCTCTGCCCGTAGATCTTCGGTGACTCGCTGCAAGTGCTCCTTTTCTGCGCGTAGGTCTTCAAATTCAGCGCGTTCGGCAGGGGTCATGCCTGGAGGGGCGGATGAAGGAGGCGGTTCGATCTGTGCGGTTGAGGGTTTTCCTAATGGACGGCCGGCGAGGCCGCGGCCTAATTTGGGAGCTGGTGTTTCTTCGTAGGGGCTGGGGGAGCTGATGTTTCTTCGAGGTGATTGGAGGGTTGGAGCAGGACCGGCGCCCGCGAGCTTCTTTTTCACGCCGGCGGAGGGTGCAGTAAGGCTAGACTTTGGCAGGCTACCTAACTTAGATGGTATGGCTTTACCTGCTGCTGGCTTAGGTTGTGGTGATGGCGCTGCTGGCTTTTCCGCTTGTGGTGTGGAGGGCCGCTTGGCAGGAGGTTTCAGACCCGGAGCGGCCTTCTTGACCATTCTCTTCTGCGGAGGCGGAGCGGCTTTTGGCGGCGGTGCGACAGGTTTTGGCTTGTCCTTTGCTTTCACTACTGCGGCGTCACAGTACTCCTTTATCTTTGTTTTTCGAATGTCGTCGAGACCTTCTAGGTACTGCTGCATTTGCCTCTCGCCCATGATCTTCATCAACGTGCCGAGAGTCTCAGCGCCACCAGCTCTAGTAGCTTCATTTGATTCAGTCAAGAGCTTTGTGGCTGCATCTGCTATTGACTTCACCTCCGGTTTCGATGGCGCTTCCCTAGTTATCTTGAGACACCGAATCAAGAATCCGAGCGTTTCTGACTTGACCTGAGGATTCTTGTGCTTCAAGAATTCGAGGATGTCCTCTAGACATTCTGAAAGACCAGTCGACAAGAAGACCGCATCCAGAGCCTGACCTAACGCTTCTGCTACTGACTGTTTCTTTTCCTTTAGCCGTTCCATGATTGGGGCCAATATCCGACTTCTGTATTTCGCAAAACTTTTTCGTAGGCCTTTTGCGAGGACAGTAATGCAATTAGCGGCGACCGTGACCACAGCGACGTTCGCATCTTTCATTGATTTGGCGAGCCCTTGTATTACTTCATCGTAGTGACCGTCCTGTATTCGCTCGGTATTAGCCACTTCGTAGAATTCGTCAAGAGTTTCCTTGCGGTCCTTCCATTTCGCTGACGCTAACTTCTCGTGGAAGTCGCTTGGCATCTTCTTGATCACATCAACGGGCTCAGCTAGGTCAAATGCCTCGACCTCCGGAACTTCCTCGGCCTTCGCCTCATCAACTTCGGCGTCCTCGTCGCCAGCAGGAGCAGCTTTTTTTGCGTCCTGTTGTGATCTAAGTAATCGATCCTGCTTCGGTGCTGGCTCCGACTTCACTCCCTCGAACAACTTTTCCAGGTCTTGCTGTTGTACGGGCTTGAGATCATTCCAGAACGTTGTCTTCATAGCTTCTCGAAGCCACCGATAAAGTTCGACCGCGAGATTTGACGCTTCCGCACGTACGTTCTTGTCTGCATGGCCAAACGCTTTTGGTAGAGCCTTCAGTGGTGGCTTCGGTTCTATTATTTTCACACCATATGCATGATACAAGGCTGTCAATGCTGCGAGTGTTGCCGCAACGATTTTTGGCTGCTTGTTCGACAGACCTTGGAGAAGATCTTCCAGTAGTGCATCTGCTTTGCCTTCGACCTCAACATAGAGTAACAGTGCCTCGACAGAGCTCTGTTTCGTTGCCGCTTTGGTCGAAGACAGGCCCTTCTCGACAATAGGAGTAATTGTTGCACTTCGAGACCTACATCCATCTCATTCAGCGCTATTACTTCCGCACTCACTCGAACATCGCTGCTCACCTTGAAGCTGCTTGTGTACCTCCAAACTTGAGGAAGGCGCACAAAGCATTGACTCCCTCTTGTTGCGCCGCTACATTTGAGTCCAGAACAGCCCCTCGCCATAATCCAGAATCGAGTATGAAAGGTTTGAAAGCCGGATGTGATTCGTCCGGGGTTCCCGCGAATGTTTTTGCAGCATCTTCGTAGCCTTCCTTCCGCACTTTCCAATTCTTTTATCTTTTAGCCAGATATCGAGCGTTCTGAGATTCAACATTACCCACCTTGTGCGTGAAACGATCAGGTAATGGTAAGGAGCTGAAGTCCTCCTCTTGCTCCGCCATATGTGTAGATAAGAAAGCACAATGCTTTGTTCGCTGCGGGCTGCCGAAGGGGACTTTGACGTCTCGAGTATTGGGGTACGAGGAGTGAACGATCTATGATCGCTGTTAAAGTGCGACGGTTCACGATGTTTCAGTAGCAGGCTTGGAGAGTGTAGCGATGATCTTGGTCGCGCAGTGTCGTAGATGATGCTGGCTGCAGACTGACGTGAATGTCAACAAAAGGCGGGCTTGGCGGGCCGCGGCACCGTTGCTCCGCGTTCTGGGGTGGAATGCGACCCCCCTCTGCATCAAAATACACATACTATACCCAATCAATGAGTACCTACTTACACTGTATTCTCTCAAAATAATGCTCGTTGGTTTTTGAGATTGGAGCCTCCAGATCAACGCTAGCCATCTCCCACTACTCTACCCAGAAGCCCCCGCCGGAATGATCTTGAGGACTCGCTGCGTTTCTGTGTCACTTCTCGAATCATCAAGGAGCTTCAACGTAGCGCGGAACCAGAATTAAGCCCAGATTTATAAGATTACAGCCTATCCTCACGTTATAATAGCGGGCCTGAGCCAGGAAGAAATTTGAAGCTCGAAAGCTTGAGCAGTCTCGCCATGAGCCAGCTTCTTACGACACGGCAAGCAGAGGAGCTGTGAGTAAGCATTCGATATGGACATCAGCTCGTGCGCTCTCTGACCTCTCTAGCCACAAATCCATAATCGCCTACCTGTCTTCCACAAAACTCTCCAGCAGCGCAGCCGCACTCAGGGAGGAGCTAGGCATAGGGGACTCCTTTGACGATGCTACAAGCAAGAAGTATGAGGGTCTTCTGGAGAAGAAATGGACAAGCGTCGTCAGACTACAGAAGAAGGTGGGTCTCAACATCAAAAGATGCCAACAGTCAAGCTGAACCAGCTGTTATAGATAATGGACCTCGAGTCCCGCAACTCAAACCTCCAAACCGAACTTGACAGTGCAACACCCACATCCCTCTCCCGCCGAAACCAAGACCCAGCGTCCTGGCTTCCTCGCTCCCCCGCCAGGCATACACTTCAATCTCATCGCTCCCCTGTCAACTGCGTTGCATTCCACCCAATCTTCTCCTCCCTCGCCTCCGGTTCTGAAGACACGACCCTCAAGATCTGGGACTGGGAGCTCGGCGAGCTCGAGCGCACATTAAAAGGCCATACAAAACCCGTTCTGAGTTGTGACTTTGGTGGTCCGCGAGGCGGCACACTGCTCGCCTCTTGTTCTTCAGACCTTACAATCAAACTCTGGGATCCCTCAGACGAATACAAGAATATCCGAACACTACCCGGCCACGACCACTCTGTGTCAGCAGTGCGCTTCGTACCATCGGGAGCAGCAGGCTCTCCAGCCTCAGGCAACCTCCTTGTCTCCGCCTCCCGCGACAAAACGCTCCGTATATGGGACGTTAGCACAGGCTACTGTGTCAAAACGCTCCGCGGGCACGTCGATTGGGTCCGAGATGTAGCACCCAGCTTCGACGGGCGATGGCTGCTATCGGCAGGCAATGATCAGACCGCAAGATCATGGGATGCTAGCTCCGGCGAAGCCAAAGCCACATTTCTAGGCCACGAGCACGTAATTGAATGCTGCATCTTCGCTCCTGCTGCTTCCTATCCACACCTAGCGACCTTGGCAGGATTGAAGAAGCCGCCACCACCTAGTAGCTCAGGCGAATACCTCGCCACCGGCTCGCGAGACAAAAGCATCAAGATCTGGGACTCACGAGGCACTCTCATTAAAACGCTCATAGGCCACGACAACTGGGTCCGCGCACTCGTCTTCCATCCCGGCGGCAAGTACCTTCTCAGCGTCAGCGACGACAAAACGATACGATGCTGGGATCTGGCTCAAGAAGGCAAGTGTGTGAAGACGATCGATGATGCGCACGGGCATTTCGTGAGCTGTCTACGGTGGGCGCCAGGGGTAATGAAAGGCCCCGTGGTGAATGGCTCTAACGGAGATGCGGGAGGGAAGGGAAAAGATGATACAGGCGGGCAGGAGACGATCAGATGTGTGATGGCAACTGGGAGTGTCGATTTGAACGTTAGGGTTTTCGCTAGCTGATGATACCATAGCAAGTGCTTTTTTTCTTGTGAAGAACGGAATCAGGAATGATTGCTTATAAGAAAAGCAACCAAGGGGCTTTTTTTCGAATGCGCTGTACTTCCCGATATTTGCATTGTGAAATGATCAGTGACTAGACTCCAAGAGCTAAACATGATTGATATATCTGGAAACTTCGAACCCCTTTAGATACGCTAAGAGATCGACTCAACGCCCAAACTCCAACTGAACGCCTTTCTTCAACCAGCACCCCCAGCCCTCTCACTCTCTTGACTCAACGGCGAGCTTCCAGCCCCCTCACCTCTCGTCACCAACTCTGTCCGCGCAGTCTCTCTCGACACGGTCCCCCTCATTAGATCGTCACCCGCCAACTCCTCAGGCGGCCCCGGTACATCATGAAATCCGTTTACATTAGGCGTCACAGGACTGACTCCGTACGCCGGATGATGCTCGTTAATATACGTGCTCCCCGCCAACTCCGTCGGCGTCATTACCCTGCCTGGTGCATGGCTTCCCAAAGGCGTGTTGAACCATATTGCGTTATCTGGCAGTGGTGGTGTGGGAGGGCGGATCGTATGAGGACTAGGTAGCTCGGAGACGGCGGCTTGTGATCCATTAAAGCCGCCTTGGTACATATTTCCAGACTCGGGCTTAGGCATATTGGCTTCCTCTCTTTGAGCGCGTTTCTGGGCGCGGCGTTTTCGGATGAAGATGGCCAGTGCGATTAATGCGAGCGCTCCACCACAAGCCGCGCCTACAGCGATACCGACTTTGGCGCCCACCGATAGTGCGGATTGTTGTCGTTGCCTGAGGGCGTAGCGGAGAGTAAAGACTTCGGTGTTGATCATACTAACCGATGCTCCGGAAGCACTCAGTGTTGCATTCGGGGATTGAACGGCCGGGCTTGATGTTGTGTAGCAGGGTGTCTCGCCTGCGAGAGCGGAGGTGTAGACTGACCAGCCACTGCTCGGAATGTAAGCGGAAGAGAGAAGAGATCAACACTGAAGAGAAACTTACGTAGGGCAGCATGCATTACTTGTAGTAAAATAATCTTGGGGACAAATACTAAGCTTTCCTCCAATATTGATATTGAAGGGACAGCACTCAGGGGCTTCTTCCGAACAGCCCACCCATGGGTACTCAAGGATGTCGCCAGCGTTCAGCGTGGTTGTGGCGATTTGTGGAATAGTACATGTTCCTGTCAAAAGTGGCTTCCCAGTGAACGTAGCCACGGGCCCTGTAGTAGCCACGCTAGGACCAGCTTCGACACTTCCATTATTGTAGTTCGTCGGGAATGCGCCTTGGTCGTTGACCGTCGCCCCTAGCCGGTTGGTCAGGATGGTCGTAAGTGAGCCCCGAGAATTTGTAGTGGTCTCGCTGGGACATCCTATAGAAAACGAAACAGTGACATTGACATTCCCACAAACCTGTGAGTTGAAATTTGTGGCCGCTGCAGACAGGTCAGCAGACGATCAGGGCTGTGTCCCTCAGGATTCGTGTACCTGTTTGGTCTGCCTGATCACAATTCTGTGAGAGACAACAAGCGAAGGAGTTGAGGTAGGTGACACTGTTACACAGACAGTGGATGTCCACACTCTCACAGCCCCCCTGAGACGCTGTCGCATTTTGGAGGCACGTTTGCTGGACGTAAGCAGTCAGCAAACTCTTAATACCAGCATTCAATCCATTCGACTTACAGCGCACGCCGGTAGCGCAGCTAGAGCTCCGCCGCCAGATGTTGACGCTGAAAAGGCTGTCGCCGCCAAAGTAGCAATGACAATAATTTGTGGCAACATTGGGACAGCGTTTTAATTCTGTTTCCTTGGTAGGAAGAGACTATACATTTCGAGGCAATGACGGTATACAGAAAGACTTGACCAAGATACGGAAGTGGGCAAGACAAAGGAATGTGCTTGCCAGACCACGTGTCTTGTTTCCATGAGAACGGCATAAAGGAGAAATGTCACCGCATGCGGAGAACAGAACGACTTCTAGCCCTCATTCGACTGAATTCAGGCAGAGATCTCGAAAGAATGTTGATTTCTTTTTTCGCATCAAAAGCGAAGAGAGGCGTCACCAGTAAGAGATAATCCTTGCCGGACGTGGTCACATAGTAATATTGCACCGAGCCATATCACTGATGATAATGCACACGGTATGAACAGCATTGTGATGGCGTTTGCTGAATAGTGATGGTAGTGGGTTGAATGATGGAGCGACTGAATTTGGAAACGCTGGAACTCAAGTTCGTTGCGGTTTCCGCTTTCGGAACATGTTGTTTCTATAAGATTATATCTTGCGATAAATGGACGAGACCGACGACCTTCGTCCGCAAGACAATGAACAGCATAGCTATGTGCTTATTACCGGAGCCAACAGGTGAGATCGACAACAAAAAGAATCCGTATGATGTGCTGACAAGCAGTACTACATAGTGGCCTTGGGTTCGCCATCTGCTGCCGATTAATCGATGAATTCATATCTTCACGACCAACATTCGAATGCCTTACCCTCATCATCACCACTCGAGATTCTAGAAAGAGCGGTGACACTGTCAAGCGCCTTGAGCGGTATCTCGAGAGGCAATCAAGAGAACTTGATGCGCCCTTGAAACATCGAATATCTCTTCAGCCCGAGCAAGTTGATCTGACATCCCTTCGTTCGGTACAAACCCTGTCCACCAGACTTCTCGGAAATCTTCCACGCCTCGATACCATCATCTGCAATGCGGGATATGGCGCATTCACAGGCATTGACTGGCCAATCGCTATCAAGGAGACTTTGACTGACTTTGTTACATCACTCACCTACCCTTCTTTCAAGCTGAGCGCCACTGGCGAGACCACTGCTGCCCAAACAGGCTCTAGGGAGCTCGATATTAAAGCTGGTAACAGCCCAAATGATGAACCTCCTCTCGGCCAAGTCTTCACATCCAATGTCTTTGGACATTATCTGCTCTCCCACCAACTCATTCCTCTCCTCTCCGCGTCTCCAGACCACGGCCGGATAGTCTTCATATCCAGCATTGAGTGTCTCGCATCCCACTTCAATTCCGCCGATATCCAGGGTCTCGCTTCCTCCAAAGCTTACGAGTCTTCAAAACGCCTCACGGACATTATAGTGCTCACATCAACGCTTCCCTCCATGAAACCCTTCGTTCAGCGCTTTCTGACCCCTTCTCCCTCGACACCCTCACAGTCGATCTTGCTTCTCGATAACGAGCCGTCAGACTCTACTAGAAGCTCTACTCCAGATACCCCACCTCAACGTATCAGCTTGTCAGATAATGAATACCGTCTACCCACCAACCCTGAGCCAAAGATCTATGTCTCCCACCCTGGCATCTGCGCCACCTCCATCATCACGCTCTCCATCATCCCCTTCTACCTCCGTATCCTCGCCTTCTACATAGCACGCTGGCTTGGCTCGCCCTGGCACACGGTCTCCGCTTACAAAGGGGCTTGTGCGCCTGTCTGGCTTGCACTAGCCGAACAAGACGAGCTTGAGGATATCGAGCAAAGAGAGGGGAAGGGCAAATGGGGGAGCGTCTGCGATAGAATGGGACATGAGAGAGTTGTGAGAACCGCGGTGGACGGGTGGGGTTTGGGAGGACGAATGGGGGAAGGAGACATGAGCAACAGGATTGGATCTAGGAGGGGCTTCCAAGAAGTGACTAGAGAGGATAGAGAAGGTTTCGAGGAACTAGGCAGGGAGTGCTGGAGGGAAATGGAGGGATTAAGGGTGGCGTGGGAGGAGATGCTGAGGCAGGAATGATATCCATTGATACTAGCTATCTGGTATGTCGAGCGATGTTTTTAATTGAAATTGAAAATAACCATCTATATGTAAGAATTAATCTGAGGAGACGAAGTGAGTCAAATCGCTCTCTCGCACTTCTCAATTGTGCATCAACTCTATCCTCACGTATTTAGTGGCATCCCACAGGTAACAAGTGATTCCTCCAAAACACGCTGAGCATTCATAATGTCATTAGCGACGTTGTATACAATTTCCCGCCTTGGAATTCAAAGCCATACAAATTCATAGCATCACACGTTTCCAATCTATACACAACCTCGATCAAAGGAAGTGGACTGATCAAGCTTTCACGCCATTGCTACCCCACAGATCTTTCCAAAACTGCTTGAAACCGTACTGCGGCTTTCTACTATCATACACTTTGACCTTCTCACTCGAAAACCTCTCCAGCACACCACCAGGCCTATGGCCCACAATCTCCACTTTGATCCTCTCCGGCCTCCTAGCTCTCTCTCGAATCTCATTGGGCAGCTGCGGTGCTATGTCCGCGAAGCAAGAGCGTAGTTCGCGTTCGAGAGAGAAATACGGCTTTTTGGCTAGATCGGGCGCTTGCAAGTTGTAGGAGCGGGTGATGTTGTTGATTTCGGTGATGGCGAGGGTGTGGTAGGCGCGTTCAAGGGATTCCCAGGCGGGGTCCCGAAACGGTGCCAGGCGGGGGAGTGATGGCGCGGTTGGCAAAGTATTCTCAGCGCTGGATGCAGAAGCATGGTCGGTGACCTCTGATATTGCTTGAGCTGGTTGGGAAGTGGGCCAATCATTGGCTAGATCCTCTGAGACTCTGATTTTAGAGTCTGTTGTTTCGCTGGATGGAGTTGGAGTTTCTGTTACTGTGACTTGAGATAATCGTCCTTCACGGTCAATCTCGGTCATCGATTCTGTTTTCGTCGCCTTGGGATTATTGCCCGCTTCAGCTATAGCGTAGGCTTCTGCTCGCGTGACTTGTGTCTCCAAAGATCCTCCTTTACTAGCAATCACCCGTGCGGAATGCCTTTTCCAATCTGCTCTCAGTCTAGCTCTAAACACATTTGCAGCTTTGATGAGCTCCTGCTGCTTCTCGATCCATGGAGGTACAATTTCTTGCTTCTGTATAATCTTGTTCATGAAGTATTCGGTCGTGTCTAGGAACGGGCTGTTGGCGTTATGGTCTCTCTCGACGTTCAGCCCTTTCCCACGCGCTATGTTCTTGAATTGGCCCCGAGCAATGGCGTCTTCGATTCGCTCGTTGGCCAGCGCTGCAAGGCCCTGGACCGAGCCTGGCATCGGACGAGCACCAGCTGTGAAACGCTCCTTCAGTATCTTTCGCATTTTCTCTCTTTCCTTCTCCGACAAGGATGCATCTTGACTCAGTGCGTAGACAGATGTCCGATCTCGAGCATTCGCCAAGCGCTCCCCATGAGACCTCTGTACAGCCTTCTTCATTCGCATGTCAACGCTGGCGGGCGGTCCGCGCGGCGTAGGGATCTTTGGAGGACCAGTACCGCGGAGAGGCTTGTGAGCATCGTTGAGCATGCGTAGAGCAGCATCTTCGAGGCGTTCAGTGCCTGCCCAAGGCTCAGCAGCGGCGATTCCTTGGGTTCCTTTGCCTGCGCTGGACTAGATGTATGTAAATTTCTGACACCTGTCATGTGAGTGAATGATTTGAACGTACTGGTAAGCTGGCTTGTGCAAACGCAGCAGCGTTCTCGCTTCTGAAAGAGCTCTCTTGCAGTCGCGCCTCGAGTTTCTTTTTCAATTCCTCAGAGAATCCTCCTTCTTTAATGACTTTCTTCGCACTTCGACCATCTTGTTCAATCATTTCATCTGTCATCTGTGCCAATCTTCCCGACATTCTACCCTCCGCTTGGCCCTGTCCGTTGGCCTTTGAGATAGAATCCGAATCCTCATCATCGTTTGGGCTCTCTTGTGGCAAATTTGTCGACTGAGCAAAACCTCGTGAGAGTTTGTCATTTTTGCGGGATCGTGCTGACAATGGAGATTGCCTATAAAGGCAGCGAATGCATATGTATGAACTCGCCCGCTTTGCTATGTTCATGTAGATTGTAATGGGTTGTGTATTTGTTCGGTGACGTTGCAGACGGTCAGGCTTTCGACCTTGGGATAGGGTTAGGGCTTTTGCATAACATGGATCGGAGCTTGGCAAGCATCATTCGCCGATGAGTCTCGGCAAAGGTTCCCAGCTCCAGCCAGTGGTTGAGCAAATGTGATTTCCACCTCAATCACTCTCTCCAATGATTCACGATCCCCCAACTTGTACTCATGACTTTTCCCACTGCTTTGCCATCAGTCAAGGTGGTCAACCAACGTGATATTCTTCTGAACCCTATTAATACCTTTCTTGAGCCTCGAAGCACAGAATCACAACCCTCTTGCGCCGCACTGGAGACTATTACTCTCCTTCACCGTTCGCACTGCAGAAATGAGGGCATTCTCGAATGCTACGATTGGCGACCAGCCTACAGCATCGAACAGACGCCAGCCTGTTCGTCAAACACGTACCAATCCTGCTAGAACCGCTACAAATGTCGTCCAACCTCAGGCGGGCGCCCTCGCCCAAGCGCCAGACGTTGACCGCAACGCGAACCCGGGATTTTATCCTGCCATTACACATTTCACAGATGCAATCACTGCATTACCAAAAGAAATGATTCGACATTACACCATGCTGAAAGAGGTTGATGCTAAGACACATGGACCTGAAGCGCTCCTAGGGCAATACCTCAACGCAGCGCTGAAAGCTCCGAGCCCCCTTCAACAGCAGGCGTTTCGAACGCAAGCCAACAAAGCTGAAAATGCGACCCATAATGCAGCCTCAAACGGTCCACCTTCAGACAACACTGGGAGTGGGTCCCAGCGCACTGCCTATGACGACCCTGCAAATTTAGCTCGTCGAGGTCACTTTCACAATATGCGCTTAGCTATGCTCGAGATGCTCCAGACCCTCGACGAGAAGAACCACGTCTTGAACACCGCGATTGACAGCCTCGACAAACAAATGAAACGCTGCAACAGCTCCTACCCCCACATCGAGGACGAGATTAGCGAAGAAGCACGGTACGGTAGCTTGACCCATTGGGCTTATACAGATCAGAGCGCGGAGAAAAAGGGAATGATTGCGGGAGAGCGCACGAGACGAGCTGCGAATACAGCAGCAGCAGCAGCAGCCCAACAGGAGGCGGAAGGTGCGGCCATGCGAAGCGAAGCAAGACGTGAGGCCTTAGCAGCACGCAAGCAACGGAATCAACATGTGGACTCCGATTTCGATGATGGGCGAGCCATAAGTAAGAATCCTAAATCTGGCGGCAAAGGGCGAAAAGCTGCAGATGCAAATCTTGGCACAGCTGTAGGACTTGGAGTACTGAACGGAGCTACACCACCAAACAAGCGGCGCAAGGTCGAGAAAGCCACGGGAGGTCTACCTGCGGAGAGGGCGATGGCTTCAGTATACGGAGCAAATGGAGGCAATGGTCGGGGCCTTGCCAGCAGTCCTAGAGACATTCCTGGAAACGACGCCACTGGAAAGAAGAGAGGTCGTGGAGGAAATCTAGCGGTGAATGGGACTGTAAGAAAGAGGTAAGTGCAGTTGCGTTGCTGAGGTCCCATTCATGCTAAGGTTTTCGGTTCCAAGGACGAATACGAACGCATCGACTGTCAACCCACCATCTTTGGCCTCTTCACCAGTCGTCGCCACGTTTGCTGCCGCAAAGGATCGTGGAGGTAAGAGTCCGGCGCCGTCAATGATGCAACGGCTGCCATCGGCACGGGCTCGCCAGAACTCAACACAGTCCGCGGTGCAATTAGCCAGAAATCGGTCATCGTCGACGAATGTCAGGGCTACGAACGGAAACGGCCTGCACGGCACAACGGCAGATGTTGAAAAGGTGTCCGGTCTGACAGGTAGGACACCCGGAGATGTCAAAAGCACTATGAAAGAGACAGTCAACGCTAAGGGGGAGCACCTTGTCGAGGATATTGGTACTGGCGACGGAGCGGGCGATCTGCGTGGTGCCCTTGTAGTGGGAAGCAGAAATACTGATCGTTTGAAGCGCGAAGAGACAGAGAACGGTTCTGGCAGAACTCGCGGCGACAGACCTCCATCGATATCTGTCTCTACTCGAGGAGGGAACAGCAAGGGACCCTCGAAGACCGCGACACCTATCAATGCCAGCTTTGCAGAACCGCATAGGACTCGAGGACCACGCGCTTCAGACGCACCGCTCAAGCGATCTCACAAGAAAGGAGCGGGCCTGGCGGCTCAGATCGCAGCCGCAGCTGCAGCGCAAGACGGTGAAGACTCTTCAATGCAAGGTGAAGAAGACGAAGAGGATGGACCAGGACAGGAACGGTACTGCTACTGCGACGGGGTCAGCTATGGCGAAATGGTTGGCTGCGATGGTGACAATTGCGAGAGAGAATGGTTCCACCTGGATTGTGTGGGGCTGAGTAGGGCGCCCGCAAAGAACGGTAAGTCTCCTTTGCATTTTGAAAACTCGTGGACTCTGCTAAACCGTAACAGCGAAATGGTACTGTGACGAGTGTAAAGAAAATCTCAAGAGCGCCAAGTTCAATGGCGCCAACGGGAGGTGACATCGGTTACCATTTTTTGGCACCCAGCATCTGAAAGCATGATAGCACGGCGTCTATGATGGAAGGAATGGTTTTAATATGCGGCAATGCTGTCTGGTAAGATAGTATCCCACAAGAGGCTGCCTCATCGTAAATGGTCGATGATTTGTATTTACGCTCGTATGATGGCGAATCTTCTCAATGAAGTTTCTTTAACTGATGACAGAGACCTCTCCTATATGCTTCAAGCTTCGACGATTGGCAAACCCAATAATAGTCTATGAGACAACACCGAGCTGAGTGAGCCATAGAATCAGTGTTAGCACTCAGCACAGTGGCGGAATGCCAAGCCGCTGTCGATAGGGCTGAACGGACCGCGAAAAGAAAAAGTACCGACAAAACACAGTCAACAGGACAACCAGCAACAAATTCTTTGGCCCAATTCCACGCTGTGCGTCTTTCAGCATGGCTGGATACCGCGGCGGAGTTCCGAGTTCCGGTAGGAGGACATAATATAACATAGCATTGCCCAGCCCCTTGCTCCAAGATCATCTTCCGAAGTGCACTTTTCCTCGCAACAGCTCTGCTCACTTCAACAGCTTACATCAGAGCAACTTGAAAGCGAAGACCAATATCAGCCATGCCTTCCATGCACCTTTCTCAAATCCGAAGATGGCTTTTACAGTCTCCTCCCGTGGAATGGGGCATAATGCAGCTCCGCGAGCTCCTAATCGGTGCTTTGCGGCAGGGACCTATACCTCAGCATGTAGCCTTCGTGATGGACGGAAACCGACGTTTTGCAAGGACGCATGGAATAGAGACGTTGGAAGGGCATAATTTGGGCTTCGAAGCATTGGCGCGAGTGAGTCGCCGGTTCAACGTCTGGACATCGAGCAATTGAGCTAACATGCTTGACTTTGTGCCAGATCCTCGAAGTCTGCTACAAATCTGGCGTCAAAGTCGTCACAATCTACGCTTTCAGCATCGAGAATTTCAAGCGGTCGAAATACGAGGTCGACGCGCTTATGGAAATGGCGAAAGTAAAGCTATCACAGTTAGCACAGCATGGCGACCTGCTAGACAGGTACGGAGCCTGCATCAAGGTCCTGGGGCAGCGCGAGCTTGTGAAGCCAGACGTTCTCAAAGCTGTTGATCGAGCTGTTGCCATGACCGAGCACAACAAAGATGCGATCCTGAATGTCTGCTTCCCATACACCTCCCATGACGAGATCACCACGGCCATAAGAGACACCGTGATCGAGTATTCCAAACCTCTACCCTCACAGAACCGTTCCTTCTCCGAGTCGCATATCGCCCATACCATCCGATCTCGACATCTCTCAGCTGCCACTCCGAAGGCTGGATCACATTCTCCTTCCCTGGGCGCTACTTCCGACACGGAAGACTCCGTTCCATCGGCTTCTTCGTCTACCACTCTACATCCTGAGTCTCCATCCGATCCCACGCCTCTAGACGACGATGGAGATGGCAAATACCGCGAAACGTATCCTGATCCAGAAACCATCACACCTAGTATCTTGAATGATCACATGTATACTGCCGGCCTCCCTCCTTTGGAGCTACTAGTGCGGACGTCTGGGGTGGAGAGACTCAGTGATTTCCTGCTTTGGCAATGTCACCAAAATACGGAGATTGTGTTTCTGGAAACCCTGTGGCCTGAATTTGACCTATGGACGTTTCTACCTGTATTAGTGGAATGGCAGTGGAAACGGCGAAAAGGAGTTGAGAGACAATTGGAAATCCGCAACGAAACTGACGGAAGGACTTTGAAGATCAAGGACCGATGATGCATGATGCCCATAGATAAAAGATAGATCAAATAGACTTTCTTTCGCGTACTTATACCCTTGCTCCTTTTTGTCGCATATTGCATGCGTCTGACTTGCATTAGAGGTGTTCGCGGACCTGCAAACTGGAGGCTCCTCGGCTATTATAGCTGGAGAATGCGGCCTTGGCACTCTTGGCAAAAGTGATGTAAGGAAATATCTAGAGTCCAATTGCCTCAATACTATAAAAACTTCAATTATATCGTATAGGCTTATACTTTCATATATTTTGAATGAAACAAAATGCTTCTTAATAGCGTATCTCTTAAATTCAGCGATATCGATATAGATTCTCGAAAAACTCGCACAGTATCGAATTTTAGGTACTCTATAACAACAACCATTGAATGCTAAGTTCTATTCTTTACTTTTAATAGATCCGTACGTATATATAACACACCGAGGCCTATCTTGAAGATTAATATCGAAGTCGTATGTGGTATGCTGGTATTCGATGCTATTACACACGGACAATATCAAGCAAGGTCTTAGCATTTTCGGAGCGTGCTACAGCAGAGAATTTTATAAATAGCCACTACGATGTTGAGTGGCCACTGCGACGTGGGCTTTCGGAGAAGAATGGAGAACAGTAGAGAAGAACGGAGAAGGATGGCCACTGCGCCGTGGGCTGCGACGTCTGTGTGTGACACGTCGGATTATTGATGTATCGTAATATTTTTATGTTTACATTAAAAACACGTTGTTAAAGTCATGAATTGAGCTTAAACTAGTGTAATCCGGGTGATTTAATTGAAATCGGGTAAAGCTGACTGTAATGTAAGATTTTGCGGTCAGACGTGCTCCGTAGTAAGCAAGAAGGGGTTACCCCGAAGGGGCTTAGCCAGCGAAGAAGGGACCAGATTCCAAATACACTACTAACCGTGTGCACTGTGCTCGTGCCTTGCTTTCTACACCCGTTTCATAGTGGAATCCATAGTGGAATCCATCGTGGAATTCGGATGACTTGCGCGACTTTCCCATGACACAATGCCTTCACCATTGAATCCACAAACGCTTCGGGCATCTGCTCGAAGCCACGACAATGCTCTCTTTTTGCCTGCACCGACGCAGCCTCTCTATCCTTATATTCCCCTTCATCATCGTCACAGCTCTCATCATTACACAAACCGGCCTCCACCATAGCATTCCCGGGCCGCTTGGACGCACCAAACAACCCATACCTACCGTGAAACCGACACCTCTTCACAAACCTATCTCCACGGCCACTCCTACACCAGTCATAGACGCCTTTCCTCTCGCAGCATCTGCGAAATCCCCAGCTGACCTGCCTCCGATCCCATCATGGAACAATCCTCCCACTCCTCATGTCAATGAATCGACTCCACTCTTCATTGGCTTCACGCGCAATTGGCCTCTCCTTCAACAGACTGTCGTATCTTACATCACAGCAGGATGGCCTCCAGAAGACATCTACGTGATCGAGAACACCGGAGTAATGCATTCGAACCGCAATAACCTTCTCACCCTTCAAAACCCTTTCTATCTCGACCATCACCGATTAACCAAGATCTTATCTGTCAATGTCATCTCCACGCCTACTCTCTTCACTTTCGCTCAATTGCAAAATTTCTATACATTCACAGCATTGGAGAACAACTGGTCGCATTACTGGTGGGCTCATATGGACACGGTCGTGCTCAGCGACGAGGAATGGGATGGCGAATCCTACAAGTCGCTTTATATGCGCGCTGTAGATGCTTTAAGGGAAACGCTGGATCCTGCCTGGGGTCCACTTGCTACGCGGTGGTTTGCGTACGACAAATTAGCGTTAGTGCGTACCCAGGCATTCGTGGAAATTGGGGGGTGGGATACCATGATTCCTTTCTACATGACCGATTGCGACATGCATGAACGACTGTGGATGAGAGAATTCAGGATCGAAGGCGCAGAGGCAGGAAGGGTGTGGGATGTTCATACCTCCCTGGACGATCTAGAACGACTATACAAACGCGGTGCTGATTCTCCAAAGGCGACGGCAAAGAGAGAAGGCGCCACAGAAATCCTTCCCCGAGAGCCAGAAGGTCAACGCAACTCTGCCGTCTATCAGGAGCTTGTGCATAGCCTCAATCTTCTGCAGGACCTCAAATCGAATGCCGAAGGCGGCCGGAACACCTGGCAAGCACGGCAGCGTGGAGGTCACGGCGAACCCTTTTATAGAGACCCCGAGGGCTTTGAAAAGGGAATCTGGATGTGGATGGACTTCGGCCGTGACGTGTATACGGAAAAATGGGGCAGGGGACCATGTAACCTGAGGGAAGCAGGGTTGGTAGAGGAAGATGCATGGAGGCTCGTCAAGGACTGGGAGAATGCCGATGTCCAGAAGCAATTCAGGCTCGATAGGGAAAAGGAAGCCAAAGAGCAAGTGATCAAGGAGAAGGCAAAGGAGAAGGAGGGGGCGAAGGAGAAGACTTCTGTATGAAAGATTTGAGTAAGCTCACGCAGCTATTCGATGTTGCCAAGCGGGTCGGGTGTATGAAAGAGCATAGCAATGGCGTTCGGGGTCCAAGCAAATAGAGTACATATACCCAGGTGGCAGTCGCTTTCCAGTACATAGCAGCAACCATATTCTCTATGACCAAGAATTGCAATTTCATGTCTCTTGCAAGGCTCAATCTGATGTGGGAGACATTAGGTAGTAGTATTGTTTGAGTCTCGACTCTCGAGTCCAGACATTCTTAAATCCGAAAGGCCCGCGCTCGGCATTGACCGCCGCTTTTAGTGACGTTTTTGCAATGGCCATTTGTGCGGCCCCATACCCTTTGTTATTCTCACATTCGAGTACCACACAACCTCTCGACCTTTTCCTAAACTTATACGCGAGTCAATGCTGGTAGTTGACTATAGCGCTATGCTTTTGCCTACCTTTCTGAAGCGAGCCTAGCCTTTCCTGCCCAAGAGGCCTTTTCCAACAATGTTCTCCTACCTTCACGGCATACGGCCCAACAACAGACGCTCAGCTATCCCACAAGCTGCACTTCCTCCCCAAAGTCCTGCCTCAAGATACTATCATGAGGGCTTTCCACCACCCCAAGGTCCTCCAACCTTCAACCTGGATCCTCCGCGTCCACGATCCTCTCAAACCAACAGTCTCAATGACTCGCCCGTCTCACCCAATCCTCCAGTATTGCCACCAATCCCACGCGTCGCTTCCCA